ACTCATTCAAGAGAAGATTGATGTCGACCGAATCCGAGAGAATCTTCGGAATTTCACTGTTGACCCTCATCAAGCAGGAACCGATGCTAACAACAAAGTAGCTGATTCTATCATGGCAAGATGGCGCGCGGCAGGACTGGAAAGTGAGTCAATGAGATTTTCAAAAAAGTAAGTAGGATCCAATAAGTTTTAAGTGGAATGACGATTATTACGACATTACGCGAAATGACGCTCTCCTCTATTGAAGAAAAATTCGGTGCTCGCGTCCGAGGACGGTCCTTGCCAGAGGGGAATCGGTCCACAGCTCCACCAGCGCTACACTGTCTCCGCTCGAAATTGCAGGGAAAAGGGACCCGAGGGTGGTGTTACCCTGGCGCCACCGCCGTAATCCGCCGCAACTCGCGCTGGTATCACGGTCTCGCACGTACTCAGCGGTAAAGAACAACCAAAGCTGAGAGAGCGTAGACAAGTATGTTGTAGTTCGCTGCGGACGGTTGGGCGTGTCAGGCGGATGAGGGCGCGGTGCCAAACCCGTTCTCCACCAGTTGTTAAAGCGAGCAAATGATATGACTGTATCATATCGTTCGTATTACTCGTTTTCTACCACTTTTTGTCGCATGCGCGCTTCAACAAGAAGGCAGAGAACGGCTTTGACGGGGTGACACACTCATACTGCCTGACACGCCCAACCGTCCGCAGCGAACCAGAGTGTAGCTTGTTTGGCTACGGTTAGACGGGTGGCTAATCATGCGGCAGCAGGTGTGGATTATAGAGATAGGGCTCCGGTATCATTAGCACTCCAGACCGTGCGCTTCTGACCTTAGAAGGTGGCACGCCACAGCAGCTGCGATCCCGTTCTTTCCACACACAGGGGCAAGGAACAGAGGTGAGTGTACAGCTTGTCCTCAAAGACACATACCGTGATCACCACGAGAGGTGGAGTCCCTTTTGCGGATGAGGTGATTTGGAATATTGCAGTTTTTGTAAACTGTAGGGTGTGAATGAGGCGGAGGTGATGTAGTGTAGTGACGGTGTGGCGCGCTTACCAGCGCGCGTGCTGGATTGATCCAAACCAGGCCAACTATGCTGTATACCTCCGTTCTGGGAGATAAGCACATGACTCGTACACGCTGTGTTCCCGCAAGGTACTCCTATAGGCCACATTCGCATTCAGTACACCACTCGGATCCTGTAATGGAAGTAGAATGCACTCCTAAAGAAGACGAAGACTATTATCCTTTATCCATCTAGGATGTGAATACACTGCCAAAGGTAAATCGTATAAGAGTTTCCAAATCTGGCTGACTGATGCTTCTCATTCAATATCGCTTGACATCCAACAAACTTTCCAGATGTGCATACAGTTGCCTACGATGTGTTGCTATCGTATCCCGACTTCCTCGAAATCCGAATTTGATGACCATCAAGGATAAGGATGGAAATGCAGTTTATAAGAGTGAGGGCGTCACCCCACCCATAATTATACCTGACAAAATGCCAAGAGTAAGTTGTATAGCAGTATGTTTTTTTGGTCCACCGTGAAGAACCATGGAGTCTAGCACTCCCACATTTAGGTCTTTTCATTTCAAGTTGTGGTGATCAAAAAGCTGCTGACACAATCTAAAGCTTAGTATTTTTCTATTGGGTTGGCTCATAAGGTTTTTTCCTTACACAGTCCTTATCTGAAAAGTGGGGATCGTTCCAAAGTGCTGATTGCTAGATAGAAAATTTTTAGAAAAGTTGAATTCGATAGAAAATTTTGCGCACTATAAGACGGTATTATTGCTTTCATACTACTCCTCGATTTCTCTCAATTTTTCTTTCGTTGAAATAGCAGCCCTGATGTCGACACAAGTATGGCGGCTTCTCGACAATTGTTTTATATTGCTCTCGGCTCTTCAAATTGCAGAATATGCTCACAAAACTTGTTATAAATGATTACGGAAAGATGCTTCTTATCACTGCTTGAAGTTGGTTCAAGCGATCAAGAGGTGGAATTCGGACCTTGTAAATGTGCATTGAATGGGGGCCCTCTTCCGTAGCGACTGCCTGCAGAACCTACCCCAACTTTTGAAGGTCTAACATCAAATAAGGGTCACGCTCGCTAATGAAAAGGCTGCATTTCGTGACCTCTAACGATTGCTGATTCTTTGGCATGAATCTCCGTGAATAAGGTAATTCAGTAAGCTCTCAGTTGGACTCAATAGGGCATTAGGTCCGATGCTACTCTGTGAGGTCAAAACTGAAATCTTCGAATCGGACCATTGTAGGCATTTTAAGAGACATAGCCTCTTAGGCATATACTCAGCAACTCGGAAATGCTCGCTTTCGTCGACTTGGCACTCCAGTTTGAGCACTCAAAAATCAGTGGAAAGAGAAACTTTGGAAAAACTAAGAGGGCAAGCCTATAGACCAGGAATTCTCTGTATGTGGCTCAATGGTAAAACTTTTCACCTATAGCGCGATATTTCAATTGACACAAAAGCCATTACTTATGTGGCGACTCAATACGTAGTTGACTCTCCTAGGTCTACTCCACCAGAGCACGTTGGAGCCGTAGTGGAGGGGCGACAGCACCCCATTACATGACCAGTGCACCGCTGGTGCACTGGAGGAGTGCACCGCTCTCATCTGGTTGGTCCTTGGTTGCTTCACTCGCTTTGCAAGAGGAAACGCGATCTTCGAAGCGAAGCCGCGGTCGGGATGATTTCGCACTGTGAAAGATTCCTCCATTCTCGATGCCATAATGGGAGAGGTTTTCGTAAGATCTTTTACTGGAGATAAGGTTGGCTACTTGTCATTCTAATAGTTCACATGGAATCACCTGGGGAAGGGAGAGAGCGTGTCAAATGCAAGTTTTGACTGAGGCTCTATCAAGCAAAATTTTTCCCAACCGCAGGACCAAACTGGTTTGGCATCATCGAGAAGAAGATTGTGCGAGCAAGCCAAGTCAGCCACGTACCCTGCCATGAGACACATGCACAGCTCCTCAAAATTGGTACCAAAATCGCTAATCCCATAAATGGTCTCGCTGTCGGTTTTGCTCGTGCTATTTCAGCTACCGATTCCGAATCTCTCTTGATCCTTCTTTCAGATGCAGGAATACAGTGGTTGGCATATTCACCAAACGGAACTGTAACAGGCGATGTTGTTTATTGTGGACAAGGCACTGAAAAAGAGTTTCAATATCTTGCCAGTCATGGGATTTCACTCAAAGTAAGTGCGTTTAGAATTGTTTCATTAGCGATGATGTGAAAAGATTTGTGCTCTGTGGTGATCACTTTTTTGGGATGTGCCACTAATAAGGTGTCCAATCGTAGGTCGAGGTAATTGGGTGCTCTTTTGAGCAATACAGTGAGTTGCTAGAACAGCTGATGTTTCAACCAGCCTTTGGCTGCTCTGCACAGGGTCTGCCTATAATTATGAGCAAAATGGTGAGATTGACCCGGTTTTTCATCTTTAACACATTCCAAACCGCGTGACACACATGTTGTGTCATGCTGCTTGTTTCATACGGTCCTTGGCATCTTATTCATCGAAGGGGTATCAGATCACTTGTTTTAGCCGAGACTACAAATATCTTCAATACGAAAGTGAAAAAAAAACAGATAGAATTGCTGTATTATTCACTCGAAAAGTAAAAAATTTATGCGAGATCCTTAGTGACGCGAATCCGAATAGGTCAACGCATCGTCGCGGTCTCCGGAAAAGGTGAGGCGGAGGGCGAGATTAAAGCCGTTCTTTACGAGGACTCTCCATCTATGATACCTTCAGGCTGACAAAATCGTCTTTAGTAGATTCAGATTCAAGGTAGCCTTCAGTATCCAATTACGATGTATATCAGCTAGTGGGCGCGGAGGTGGTGTAGTGACAAGTGGCGCGCTTACCACTCGCGCAATGGCGTTCAAGATCCCGGCGTCGACCCTCGCCCAGGGCACCAGCCTTCTATCCTCCGGGGGTCAATTGTATACCGAGAATTCGTCTGGGAGGATAAAACACTGACTCGTACATCGGCTGGCCACCGCAAGTCATTGTATAGGCCACATCGCATTCAATAAGCCACTACGATTCTGAATGGAAGTAGAATGCGTGCCGCATCCCACAAAGGGATTGATCAACTGCGGAGACTTTATCCTTTTTTATTAGCTAGTGATTTTGATGAAGACAACGACCTTTCCTTCGTGTATCTGACCGTATCTTCGTTATTACTGCTGTCTATGGGAGTTAGGAGAATCCTAGTCGAAGAAAAAATTCGCTGTGATGAGAAATTCTGAACTTTCGCCTGCCAGGCTCAAGTTTCGGCTATACATGCATAATAGTTGCAACCCACCAATTGCAAATACAAGCAGGGTCAGACAAGCCTTCCATCCATGATAAAAGCCCACAAGGGAGGCTAAAACACGGACTCCTACTCGGCTTGGGCCGGAAATCCATTTGATAGCTTCTATCACATGAAAAGCCACCGTGATTCACGGATGCATGTAGTGGTGTGGCGCATCTAAAAAGGGTGATTCGGAAAAACATTTCTTTATTTTGTTGATCAGTAATTTTCTCAGGGAAAAATTGCTCTACTTCGTTATGGAGGCAGTTTTCGCGGTAACAAAGTCGCGCTTGCGCAGCAGAACGGTGCCATTGCTGCCATCCTTTTCTCCGATCCAGCTGAAGTGGCTCCTAATGGGACATTAGACAGTGAGTCATTTCAATTTTTCTACTCATGACAACAATCCGTAGAATAAGCCGAAGTCTCGCAGTATACATCCTGGAAATAAGGTTTATGACGCTGCTTGGCTGGGGAGGGGCATTCTACACTTTCGCTAATTTCTATTGCTGGTGCCTACATATGCGTCTCATCTTGGTATGACTTGTATAGTCTTGAGTCTGGACGAAGCTTATGCTACGCAGCTTCACTGGAATTTTTCAAGAAGCACTAAGTAATCTATGACGACTAGTGAAAGGCCCCCACCAAGCCGAACCGCGCCACTAATTATTTTTGGGCCGTGCCTAGCATTTCTTAGCGTTGCTCACTGGTTTTGCTCACTGTCATTTTTTCAGAAGATGTGTACCCGAATACAGTATATATGCCTGAACATAGTGTTCAGCGAGGTACGCTCCACATCGGTGATGGTGATGTTCTTTCGCCGCTGTACGCTGGAAAAGCCAAATCTTTTCGGAGCCAGGAGTCTGTAGAGGAAGCGTATTGAACGTCTCTGGTTACTCCATGCATTACGGCACATCATTGGTTGGGGATTTTAGTGAGTCCTTACGACCCCCCCCCCTTTTTCTTAATGGGTTGATGCGACCCCTCTGGTTCCCTCCTCATCGAGTTGTCGAGTGGGGTACAACGCCAACCCTCTCTACCGTTCCTCCATTTCTTAAATTTTCCCCAACTTCCTACCAATTCTTGGATCAAAGCAGGAAAATTTTCCTAGTTCGACCCAAAAATTTTGCTGTCGAGGGGCGATGGAATAGTACGCATGAAACAGGAAAGACCACGGGAAGTTAGCAACCTCTCTCATAAGGTCAGAGGGGAAACACAATCCTCCCCTCCCAACAGCGAGCAAATACGACCCATCCCTTTACCCGCCTCCGAAACAAGAAAAATCAGCTATCAAAAAAATTTTCTCAGACTAAATACCACCCCCTCTCGCAGCGACTCAATACGCCCCCTCCCCTGTTGGGGAATCCCCAACGACGATGTGCTCTTCCATGAAACGTTTGAATATTGTCATAGATTTTTCGATGGTCACAATCCAACTGACTTTTTCTCCAAACATCATTTTCTAGTTTGTTGTATTTTGATCACCAACATGTGTTTGTGTAAAAGCCTAGGCTGACAGCCCCCAACTTCCTTCATTGATGTGACTGTTCCTTGAAAATGCACCTGATGCAGGCTCGTGCGGACGGAGACATTCCATCGATCCCTGCTCTTCCGATTTCGTACACCTCCGCCATGGCACTACTTTCGAGACTTGGCGGTCCACCTGCACCATCGACTTGGAAAGGTACTTAAAATTGAATCATTTTTCAGAAGTAGAGTTAACTGAACCAATGCAGCCTGGTAATTGGATCAGGGTTCGAGTCCTTCCTTAAGACAAGCTTTGTAATTGCTGATTACTGTAGTGATGAGTTACAGGGCATACTCCTGTGAAAAACAGGCTATGGCAGACACCACGCTGAAAAGGTAGAAGGCGAGAAGTAGCAAGAGAATCATAATTTGCCGCGCCAGTAGGCGTCGCGTGCGACGTCGCGCCCGCTAATGACAACGATTTCAGGTGGTAGAGGCGATGTATGA